ATATTGCACATTTCTTGTTTTTCATGTTTTGTTGGTTGGATATACTCTGACTTACCGACGAGGCTGCAGCTGCCTGCGAAAATACGAGGGATGTGCTGTGATTGACTCCCTTCAGAGCCAATGAGTGAGTGAAAGAGTGGTCCCCACACACAGCATTCCTAGGCGTGTGCGTTTGCTGTGTGCGACGCACGCTGCCTGTTATTATAATTATAGCAACGAGTCACGGCTCCAATTATTCAGAGCTAACATAGCACACACGCACTTTATCACAAAATACTTAAAAACTAAACTTTATAACTATGCACTTGTAATCCTCTTTTGCCTGCCCAAATGCACTATTTAATTTTCTATATATATATGCTGTGAGTTCGGTCAACAACAATTGTCTAACGTGAATCATAGATATAATCAAAATACATAAAACGTTTTTAAACCGTTTAAACGTTTTTAATATAAAATATTTACAATATATTTCATTCATTATGTTACTTCAATTGCAGAAACATTTGAACATTTGTGTCATATACAAATTTTAGAAATTCTAACTCAATAAAAATACAATCATTCAAAAATGAGTTAAACATGATTTACAAATTAATTACTGACATAATTAAAAAATGTGGTAAACGTTATAGATTTTATAATTTTGAAAGTGTGTAAAATTTTTGTTTAAAAGATATGAAGTTTTAAAATAGCAATGTTCTAATATATTGCCATTTCTTTTTAGTTTACGAAAAGATTAATTTTACTTTACTATTTAAAAACCAAAAAAGGAAGTTCAATATAACAATGTTACCTGCAGATAATAGAACAAGTACTACAAAGTATTACAAACATATTCTCAATCATATTTGTACGAAACAGAACAAACAAGTGACATGTGCATTAATATTTATCTGTTTAATGAATGTGGAAACAAAATAAAAATATTAAATAAATATAGAATTGTAAACCAGAATTTCATTTTAAAAAAAGATAAACGATTTTTTGAAACAGACAGTTAAAAAAAAAATGTATCATATGTTGTATATACAGAAGAACATATAACAAAGATTAGTGTATGAAACAGTTTTTTTCTAAATTGTTACATCTTACAGAATAATGTTTATAATGCTTCGTAAAAAATTCACGTAGTTGGCAATAACAATTTTATAATTGTTAACATCTGTAAACCTAAGTTTTTGCAAATTCTTTACCCAATCCTATTAGACCACAATTAGTAATACCTTCTAATATTTTGGTATATCACATCCGACAATATGACCAAAAAGAAGGGCAGAAAAGTAGGAACATAAGAAGAAGATTTCTAAAATAATTATAAAAATAATTACCTTCATAACCTCCCTGAATTTTCCAATTTCTCTGGTAATCAAGTCTCTTTTACTTTCTTCTATTTCTGCATCATCCAAGTTCAAGGATTTTGCAACCATTTTCGTTTGATGTTCCTCTATAATATATCACCAAAAAAGTATTATCTTTAAATTCCTCAACCTAATTTAGTATACTACCCAGAAAAGAATTAATGTGTTACCAGGAGCAGCTTGAGCCATTTCCAAATCAGCAGCATGTTCAGCTATAATTTGATTAATACGGGCTAATGCATCTGCATCCACTACTCTCATGCCTTCATCCATGTAATCTTCACCTTCTTCTCCTTCTGCTCCTTCAGTGGATGTTTCATCTTGTAAAGGTGACTGGCCTCCTCTCAACTTTTTTCTTCTTTCCGCTGAAATGCACAAAAAATTAACAAATTAAAATCACTTAGTAATGTATCTCTACATAAATATTCTACATACTTTAAATTTACCTTTAAACTGATCCAAAACAACTTTGGCTTTTGCATCAACTTTCACAACAAGCTTTTTTGTACCTATTTCCATGTCATGAAGTAATCTAACTGCTCTAAGACCTGCATCAGGACCTGCATATTCACAAAATCCAAATGCTTGGACTCTCTTCCATGAGAGGACATGGCCACAGGCACCCAATATATGTCGAATCATCACATCAGGTGCTCTTTCCATAATGTTACCAATAAATACAGTAACTGGTGGACCAGACTCTCTTTCACGACGACGATTATTATCATGACGATTCTGGTTACGTGCATACCGAACAGCTGGAGCTGAGGTCTGCATCGCAGATACGGGTGTTGGAATCATCTATGTTTTATAAATGGTAGTATTCTTAATAATGCACATCTCTACTCATGCAGTCCAGAATCTCCCCTCCCCCTAATAGCATATTAATCTCTTTCTTTTTGATCATCTTTTGTTACAAAAATGTATCATGCAAATATTAAATAGAAAGAACATAAGGTGAAAATTTGTGTCAAAGTATATAACTTTCAGAAAATTATCACTTTATCCATACAGTGGTTCTATAGCATAAATAGTTAAGTGATATACATTCCATTTAACATTATAATCTAAATACAAAATGTTAATACATTACACAAAATGATTGCATTAGCACAGAGAAAAATTTATAATTATGATGAAATTAGTAGCATTTAAAAATATAAAGCTATGTGACAACTTCATATTATTTACTACTTAAAATTTACTCTGTTTACACAACATTGATCAAACCAAACATTACATGCTTTTTCCTTTTATTTTTTAATATAACTAAAAACATTTTATTTGATATTAAAAATTTCTGGCACTTCAGTATCTTTTTTTTAACAGAGAAATTATATAAAGCATCTTCATTAAACCCTTAATTGCATATATAATTATGAATCTTCCAAATAAATAAAAGAAAAGATGGATGAGATATTAATATATTAGAAAATTAAAAACATTTAATCACAATTTCACTTTATATACTACAAGTAGAAAACAGATACAAGAATTTTATTCTTCATAATTATTTCACATTGAAGCCACAAGTACCAAAATAATTACTTGTTTTGTCAAAACTAATATTTATTAAGTGCAGATGATTCTTTTTAAAAAATCTACAGATTTACCAATACCACGCAAAAACAAACATGCTAAGATACAATGATGTGTAATTAATATAATTACTTACATGTGCCATAGGCATTACACCACCAATAATTGGCGGAGGTGCACCAACCATGTAAGGCATTGGTGGCATGCCTGGTATTCCCATTGGGGGTTGACCAGGGTAAGACATTTCTTATTTTGAATAGTAATATGACAGTGCTCTCACTAAAACAAATAAAGTATAAGTCTAATTTGACTTTAAAGTTACTGAATTTAATTATAATACATTTAAATATACATATATTGCTTCAAAATTTAATATTCTTTAACTATAAACAATAAAATAACTTAATTAGGATAATAAAGGTTTTTCTGTAATTATTAATATTGTGTAATTATAAAATCAATGTTAACTAATAAAAAGGAATATTAATTAAATATGATAGAGGTTAATAGTAGTAAATAAATAGATATTATATCTATAAACTATTTTAAATATTTACAAAAAGCCAAATGTTTTAACCATACTATATTTGCAAAACATAAGTGCATTAAATCAATTAATGAAATTAATATTAATGATATTTTTTACATACAAAGAGTGAAAGTATTACGTAAAATGTTTTTAAAATTGTCATTAAATAATAACCTTTAATAAATAACAATCTTCTTAGGCACACTTTCTTGATATATAGTTAATCACAAATATCAATTTAATATTGCAGTAATATTAAAAATTTAATATCTAAACTTTACATTAAGATGTAAACATTGTTCAACATATAAGTTTTACTATGTAAAAACATGTTTTTCGCAATAATAGTTAGAGATACCAGACAAGACATTAATGGATGCTTTAGTATTCTAACCATTAAATGATTTCAACAAAGAACCAATCTTGTACTTACATAATATATTTGAAAATAGAAACAAAGCATCAACCATCATTTGAAAAATATTTACGTCATTTTACTAAGAATGTAAAACCAAAGAAATGTTACACTAAACACACAAACTGAAACTTCCACTTTTACAATGTTTCAGCTGGTAATCACTTCTTTTCGTCCATTACGGCTTCACGCGCTGATCACTTCTAGAAGGCTATGGTTGATGGTATATTTCCCATGCGTTCGAAAACCCATCATAAAAGAATCACATTATATGAATATTATATACGTTGCACTTCCTTACGCTTTGCAATTTGTTGAAAACTTGTTAGACTACATTAATACAAAACTTACTAATGTTAAACGGTTATAAATGACGCAAGACTATACTGACTTTAATGAAAAAATATTTGCGTCTTATTCAAGCTTTCATATACATGTATTGTTACATGAAAGGTATCATTAAAGCTTGACAAATAAATTTATGTTTAAATACATTAATACCTGAGAAACCGGTTTACTTATGCATCAAATTGCACTAATGCTATGTCAATTTCTTTGCTAGATTTTCATACGTATAAAATAATTTGTGAATTAAAAAAAAATATATGAAATTAGTATTAAATTAGTATTAAAACATAAGAAATATTTAGATAAACCTTATTATAAAATTATTAAATAGCAACATAACAATTTTTGCATGCAAATAATTAGTTTGTTCTTTTATCTATGAAAATCTATATTTTTGAATTGCGTGAACGCATAATTTTGTAAGTACATATTATCAATAACAATATAGTTACACTAGAAGATAATATCCACTAAAAAAAGAAGTATAAAAATTCATTACAAATTATACGTTACAATAAAATATTAAAAATATAAAAGAATTCATACATGATCGTCCTTGCATTTAATATTTTGTAAATTCAGAGTATGACTGTATCACTTTGAAAAAGGACAACTTTTAATTATCAAGTCGAACATTGTTTAAATACTTGGACAAAAAAATATAAATTTAAGAACACTCTTTTTAGTTGATCGCTTTCCGTTAAACATCTTAGTTCATGAAATGGCAGTGTAATGCATTCTTAGGCAGGGTGAAGTGAATTCTCTTTGGGGGATAGTTAGAATTTTAAAACAGAAAAAAGAAATACTGTAAATTATTGAAGATACCGATGTGCAATGCAATTAAAGTGACTGTATGCAATGTCCTCTAATTCGTCTTCTGAGGTATACAAGCTAGAATGAAACAGTATTTTGTGCCTTTTATTACTAGTTAACTATTTTGGTTGACAGTTGGACATGGAATCTGTAAAATTAGATTTTTTTAGTATAATTTACTCAAACAAAAGATGAAATTATTTTTAAAAGGAGGTGGAGAATTATTTGTGGATTTTTGTGAAATTGCAAGAAATAATTGTAATTATTTTTATAATAATATTTACTAAATAACCTTATTAAGTAGAATTTATATACTGTATTTTCTACTGCATTAGTAGCGATTACCGTACAATAATGTAGTGTATGCAATTTTATGTTTTAATACTTTCATTGCATTGTAGTATTATTTAATTATTACATACTATTGCATGTTCCAAAATATTACTCCATTTGATAGAAAGATAAGTACATTATGGAGTTAAATGTATGTAATATAAAACTGTATTGTTTACAGTATATATTATATTCATATATTATTATTTTGAATAAAATGTGTTATTACAATGATATAAAAATTTAGAGTCATCCACGATGTATGTAATTTTATAATATAATGAAATTTCTTATTTAATTTGAACACATTCT